GTATCTTTCAAAAAACACAGTATGTCCCCCTCTCTCTTTCTCTTTTGTTTCTCTATTTTCTTTCTCTCTTTCCTCCTCCTCTCTCTCTCTCTCTCTCCATGCATCATCTCTCTCTCTCTCTCTCTCTCCCATCCTCTCTCTATCTCTCTCTATATCTCTATTCACAAATACCTTCATTAGTTTTCAACCATAAAACCTCCCCCCCCCCCCCAAAAAAAAAAAAAAAAAAAAAAAAAAAATCGATATCATTCCACTTCTCAATCAATCATGCTGTTATACTTTCGCTTCCTTTCCTTGAAAGGCTTCATCTTCTTCATCAAAGCAATCATGATTGACATCCCGTTATCCAATATTCATGTCTAAGGTCACTGATATCATTTCACCTTGTTTCCCCTCACGTTGCCCCAGATATTAAGGTCATTTCAAATTTTCAGAGCTTGATCTTGAATCAAAATTGCCATCCCCATTTTTGCTTTATTTTGGAGGCATTAAGTTGTTCTTGTCTCTCAAGTCTTTGTTACTCTTTGTGATATTTAAATAATATGTAGCTACCGCAAGACTCAGTTTTTTATGTAGTAAATATTGATTGTGGGTCCAGTGTGGTTTTAATTTTGACTTTTAATGGAATACGCAAGTGAATTGTTTTACTCATACGAATGAAGATAATATATAAGGATTCCTGGTGAAGACTCTTAATATAATGTGATCCACTGTAACTATATTGTCCAACAAATAATCATAGATCTCTTTAATGGTATGAATGAAAGTTGTCATTTATATGTATCATAAGATCAGAATCTAACTTTTTCATATTTCTTACCAATGTCTATGTGTGCCTTTAAAACCTCAATGGCTTGCAATACAAATTTTCCCATAGACCAGAGGTAATTGAGAATGTGATATCACTGTAAATTGAAAAAAAGCATATAAGTCGGGACCTCCCTGATAAAACGATGCACTTTTTATTAAATCATAACATACACGTGATATATCCTGTATTGTGCTGGCTTATTGCGGTCGTTTGATACCAACTTTTATGAACCTACTCCTTATCTTGTGCATGTGTTGTATTGAATATCTCGATAGACCAGGTTTGAAAGACAGATTGAAAGAGCGAGATTGAGTAGGGAGAGAGAGAGGGAAAAGAGGAGATGGATGGAAGGTTGAAAGCAAAAGGTAAATACTTGGAAATATAAGATGAGAATGCAGACGACTTGAGACTTGAGTTATGATGTAAGATATATGCAAGAGAGAGGGAGAGAGAGAGATAGAGAGAGAGTAATAGAGAAAGATAATTTAAAATACAGAGAAGAAAATGAGAGATTGAAGTAGAGAGGAGAGGGATTGAAACAGAAAGAGGTGAGGAATTGGAAGAGAGAGGGAGAGAGAGAGAGAGAGAGAGAGAGAATAAGAAAAGGAGAAAAAGGGAGAGGGAAAAAAGAAAATGGTATGATGAGAGTCGAAGGAATAAGATATAGATATTATAAGTATGATAAGAAGAGACAGACAGAGGGGCGGGAAGACACGATGTTTACAATATTGTAGAGAACGATTTGAAATTAAATTAGATGAAAATAAATAAACAAGTTTGAGCTCCCAATAAATGCAATTGATAGGTCTTTCAGTCCCAAGGCCAAGGCATCATTTCATTTATGATCGATCGTTCAATTTAAAATGTTGAACAGTGTCACGGACGCTAACATATAATGTAAGTAAAACGTCAAATGGATATTGGTTGGAAATTTGAAATGTCATGGTCTGAACCTGTAATTTGCCGTTATCGAGTCTTGAAAAGAGTTGAAACAGATGAGATTTATGCACCCTTTGATATTTGAATTAGTGAAAAGTGAAGTTGCAATTATCACATGTTTTTGTTGTCATATACCAAGGACATTTTTTGTTTTTTACATTGGAGTTTTTCTGAGAAAATGAATATGAATGATTATGATGTTTGTATATTTTTCTTAGATAAAGGTGTCTCCAAATCTAAATTTTTGCCAACGTACATGTTCATCAAATAATGTTTGTTGTATGTCATGGAATACAATGTGAAACTCATACTCAATATCGCTGTAGTCATCACAGCTTCGTTTCTATTGGTCGTCTTACCTTACACAACAAAAACAGTCTTGATTGTATGTACGTCAAAGTACACCTCCACAAAATATTGGGCATCATTATGCTCTATCATAGACTAAATCTCTGTTTAAACCATATTCTTCAATTTGTATTGTTGTCAAAATAACGAAAGAATAATCCATGGTCAATTTATCACTGATCGCAATCTATATGTCACCATATTACAATAATAGATGTCATTTATATCATTTTATTTCATTAATCGCAATCTAAATCACATTTCGATAACAGTCGCTCTTTGTTCGGTGGTCCCTAACCCAAGCACATCCCAACACTATACCAGGGACATCCTGTTTATAAGGTTGTCCTTAAGCCCCTTTCACACCGGATCTGCGTAGAGTTGCGTAGTGTTGCGTACCGACTACGCCGAAGTTAAGCTGCGTACTCATGAATAAATTGATGCTTCGGCGTAGTCCCTGCGTAGGTTTTGCGTAGGCTTGCGTATAGTTACGTACCCTGTGCGTAGGCACCGCGTACCTACGGCGTAGGCAATTGGCGTAGGGTTACGTACGCTTGCGTAGGCCTGGCGTAGGGTTGCGTAGGCCTGGCGTAGGGTTGCCAAAAGTGGCATTTGGTACACGGTTTTGACCGTTATTTTTTCAATTTTTTTTAGTAGGTATTAACAACTGCTGAGGCTAATTTGCAGTAATGTTACATTGTTCAAAATACTATTTTCCAAAAAATGCAGGCATTTTTGTGGATGTACTACATTATTATACTCATTCACAAGGGTAATAAATGAACTTTCTGTTGATGTACATTGCAAGGTCACGTGATGTGATTCGATACCTCAAAACGCCAACAAAAGAGCGCTTATTTTGATTTGTGAATAAATGTGGACAGAAGTCTGATATTTGTTGACCATATCCCTTTTTTTCACTCATTTGTAAATATCATTCCATAACAGTTTCCTGAAAGTTTGAAGACGATAGCTGTTGTCCTTTGTCCGTAGCGTATATGTATGTGACAATGTAATGATATAAGTGTTAGTAATTTATTACTTCTGACATACACACTCACTCAGTCTCACTAACAGAGTGAGACAAAATTATTTCTTTGCTCATTTCAATTAAACAAAATTATTTTACAAACATACAAACAGGGCCATAAACGTACACACAAGCAAACAAACCGACACAAATACATACAGATTTCCACAAAACATAATAACATTTCGCATGAGGCATCAGTTTGTGAGTCTTATCTCTGTTTATTATATCAACAGCCTGAGATGTCAACATCACAAATTAAATAAACCATAACAAGCAAAACATGTCAGTCTGAAAATCCTTGTAGTAGTACAAACATAATTACAAGCAAGAATACAACATAAAGTCAAAGAAACACTTTTTCTTCATGAACAGAATAAATGTGAGAACGCACACATTTAAACAAAAATAGCATTTCCCTTCAAAATAATGATCAATACCTGCCAAGTTTACATCCAGGTATATACAACAAAAAATCTTTATACGTTTTTAATGCTTCGTCGGACTGGCGTAGGGTAGCGTATTGTTGCGTAGGCTTAGCGTACAGTTGCGTAGGCTTGGCGTACAGTTGCGTAGGCTTGGCGTACAGTTGCGTAGGCTTGGCGTACAGTTGCGTAGTTTCTGCGTAGAAAGTCTACGCCGAAGGTACGCGAAAAAATATAAACATGTTTAATTTTTTGCGTTCATCTCGCGTACCCATTTTCGTCCCTCCGCGTACAGTTGCGTAGGGTTGCGTACGATCGGCGTAGGGTTGCGTACGATCGGCGTAGTCGCTACGCAACTCTACGCAACTCTACGCAACTCTACGCAAGGCCCGGTGTGAAAGCCCCTTTACGTCTCTGACGCCAAAACTGGGCAAGGGTGACATTTTGAAGTGTATTCGCAACAGATTTTCTCTTTTTATAACTATTTGATTGATACTCGAGCTTCTGACAAACAACGCGTGTTTAAAGGTAGTACTGTATGTCCCATTTGTACGCCAAAAAATGAAAAGGTTAAATTCAAATGGCATTTGAAAGATAATAGTAATTTAGAACTTCCATCAAAACAGAAAGACTTGAAAATGTCTTTTTGTGGGAGATTAGGACCGTAAATTGTCGAATCGAATTTAGCGAGCGCGCTTGTTTAACTGAATAGTCTGATGTTCAGACCCTCGTACCGAATGGTCGTACGTTTTGTGCTGCGCAAAGATTCAATCAGCATAATGTTGGCCATTACATTGCTCATGTACCCTTTACAGCTCATTTTATTTATGTTATTACAAAGAAAAAAAGGAAGTCAGTCAGTCACTCAATAGTGAAATCTTGAAAGTAAACGAGTTTCCTTGCATAATTTGAATACTAGGACACTGCTAACGTTTAGATTTCACAGATAGGGCATACATGACATATTCATAATTCCTGCAAAGTTCTACATGATTAGATGTTGGCTGCAAAAGGGATACACTACCTTTAAAAAGACTGATGGTTGATGCATGTTTGTTTTTCCACTCATGATTGAGAAATGTCATTCATGCCATTATAAATTCATAACTTTCTTATTAGTTATCCGATTTTGCTCAAGCTTGGTCTGATTTTTCTGCTTCTATTGAAAGTAATATTATTTTGGAGTGGACTTGCCCTTTAAACCTTGAATCTTGCAACACAGGCTCACACACTTGCTTACCCATCCATCTCAATCCACTTCTCTCGACCGCTTCCACCAGTTTCTTCCAGACCCAATCTTTCCATGAGCTCACTTGTGTTCTGTTTATCGAACAGTTTCATACCACATCTCTACCGTATCGTGGATCTTCCTCTTCTCCTAGTGTTTGAAATGTATTCATCTCGGATAACCATATTGTCTTCTATTGTAAAATTCATTTTTTTACAGATTCGGCATAAAGCAGATGGCCGAGTGATGGTCGCAAAGATCGGCAAGCAGAAGATATGGAGAGCCAACCAGCACAAAATGATCCAAGAACTTGAGCTTCTCAATAAACTACAACACCCTAACGTTGTCAGGTAGGGAAATAGCATATGGAACATTATATTCGACGTCTTTATGTATTGGTATACTGTTACAGATTTTACATAGCACCCAAATTACCATACACTTATTGACAGTTCGCGTCGGGTCACACGAACTTTTGTGGAAACAAGCCTCTAAAGAGAAAGGTCGGGTAAAATGAATGCAAAGAATCACACATTTTTTTCAAAGATGTACCTTGAGATGGGGATAATCTTTTCATATGTATTTTGTTTAAAAAATGCCCTCAATGACGAAGTGTCGATCGATAGCCTTTTTACGAACTCTTGTGATCATTTTTGTTTGTATTAAAAGCGTCGGTCGAGACGCAAGTTTTCAAAGATATGCTGTATTTTTTTCAGAAAGTGTCGGGTGTATTTCAAAAATGTTAAACCCAACCTTAGGAAATTAGATCTTGATTTTTCACAAAAGGTCGTGTAACCCGAAAAAGCTACAACCCGACGGAAAGAAGCAGGCCGTCTTTGTAATGTATATCTGTAGTCCCGGATCCAAGATTTGAAATAGAGTGGCACCCGCAAATTTTGTATGCGTGTATGTGTCATATAATTTGCTCCAAAAAAAAATCCTAAGCACGAGCCAAACCAAAATTGTTCATTCTGGCATCGCATAAATATTTCATGACTGTCAAATGTGCTCCATATTTTCTATACAATAGACGATTATATATTCTGATTTAGGTAAATGTCTCGAAGTTTTAATTCTTGGACTGACCAGGGACATTCTCTAGCATGTCCCTGGACTGACTGTGTATAATATCACAGTGTCAAATCAGATAAGTTCGTCTTCTTCCTGTTGTTCAGTTGCCCTCTCAATTGTATAAGAAAGAAAATAAAACATGTTTCGATGTAAATGTAAGCTGTATTTCTTATCCGGTTCTTTGCTTGTATGGTTCACTTAGTTTCACTTTCTTTCACGTCAATCGTTCTACCATATCATCTTCGAATATTTTATTGCAGTAACTTCCTCCTTTCATCTAAGCCACTTTCCAACAAGATGAGTATTAGTAAAGCAAAAACATATCTCTGTGTCATTGTGAAGGTTTCAATGATTATATTGTTTTTTACTACAACATCCTCATTTATTTTCATTTCACTATCGAAAGTGAAAAGTTATTATTTCAGCCGAAATTGTGTCTTTAGTGAAGAATTGACTAGTGTAAATATAGCTTTATTCTATCGTCGGCTGTTATCTAAAAAAAATGATTATCATTTAAGTTTCACGATTGGATGCTGCTGTCGGATCTCAAGATTGAGCATGACTTCAGTCTATTGAAGAATGATAATGATCTATACAGTAGGCTTGTGAGAAAAAGAGAGAGAGGATTGAGGAGTCCTGAAAAGGACTCTCGGTAATCTTTCTTGAGGATGTGTAGTCCTGAAAAGGACTGTTTGTGTAGTCTTGAAAAATACTGTTGGTTATCTTAATGATCTAATATAAATTTCTCTTTTTATTTACACAGATATATGGGAGCTTGTGTAAAAGATGGCCATATCCATCCTGTACTCGAGGTAACTTATTACTTTCTCCACAATATTTCATGTTTTGCTGCTAATCAGAACGACTTCCAACCGACCAAACAACTATAACTACTCCTTTAAACGTTACTCCAATTACTCCTTTAAACGTTACTCCAATTACTCCTTTAAACGTTACTCCAATTACCCTCAAACAGTTAGGTGGTTCTCAAATATTAAGGGGTGTCCTAGTGGTGGTTGTTTTAGAGGGAAGTTGTGCGGAGATCTTTGCCGGAGAAAAGTTGTCCCAGAGGCTAGCTCTGCAGGGGCAATATTTAAAGGGATATTTGTCCTGGAATATGTAAACTAGGATATGATATGAAATGGCTCGTTAGGTTGAATTAATTAAATAATAATAATAATAAAAATAATAAGTCTTGTTTACCCAGGGTAGCCTCATCAGTATTCATGCTATTCTTCCTGAGGGCCCTGCGATCATATCATTACGCTATGCAGTAGACGTTCGAAGGCACATTTAACATTTGCCACGAAAGTCAGGCGTGTTTACACTGATTCAGAATGGATGTTTCATGAGCATGATTATTGATCAATAAGCGCGTACTGTGCTTGCAGTGTGAACGTTTGAGGATAGGGTGTTCCCCCTCAGGCAAGTTTCGAGTCGAGGACTTTCGACATCTTTTGCGTCATCTATCTGATACTTGACATTTAGAAAGAGGGGTCGGGAAGAGCTTAAGCTAAGCTCTAGTAAACGTCTTCAGACATGATTGACATGCCCCGATATTAGATCATAGAGTATATCATTATTGCATATATTTTGGGAACAAACGTATTTTCGGACCTATAATAGACACGTGTTGATTTTTTTCCTTTTCAGATCATACATACATATAGCGCCTTTACATAATCATGTTCAAATCGCTTTACATTAGTAAATAAAACAGACTAATTATTTTGCTCTCCAATTAGTGCATACACTGTAAATGTGTTGTGTAAAGCTGGGTAAAGTAATTCAAAAAAAGGTTGTGCACCACATGACAGTACACAACCTCGTTCACATCCACACTGAATGTATCATCTACCACTGAAAGTGGTTGAATTGCTTACTAATTTGAAATCATTATTATTAGACAAATATACTTCGTATAATGTTCCAATCAGTTATACATTCGCATATCTGTTTAGGGTTCAAAACTGTATTCAGTTGAATGACATTTTCACTCCTTTCAGTATGTATCTGGTGGATGCTTGACGGACATCTTGGCTGATGAGAGCTTGGCGTTGTCATGGAGACAGAAGGGTGACTTAGCAACAGACATCGCTCGTGGAATGACCTACCTGCACTCACAAAATGTGTGCCATCGGGATCTCACGTCAGCGGTGCGTATAGAAAAGGGGGAAATTTATTTTAATAATTAATAAGTATAACTTTAAAACAGTTTATAATTTTTTCTTGAATCCATTGAAATAAGGAGACGTTTTGAAGCTGGTGAAATCATTATACAAATGGACCTCGATCTCTGATGCCAATGCCTCTTTAACGCCTCTTTAATGCATCTTAAATGCATTTACTTTATCCACACTGCACCACTCCCGCGTACAATTTTGCTTCCCATATTATCTTGCTTTCAATTATATTATAGGTAGTTTAAATGTCTTTTTCAACAGTTTAAACAATATCTTTAAACCGTTCATCTGCGATTATATTACGCAATAACTCGAGCACTTCGTCCTAGTTTCGAAAACGGTTGCGCAATGCATTCACCCAGGTCTCATGAATATCAGAAGCAATAAGAAAAGGCTGGATAGAATTCCACATAAACAGGAAATCATTTCTATTCTCGAATGTCATGTTTACCTGGGAATTGAGGTTTATGAAACATAATTTCCTATCAATAACAGATTAGGATATTGTGAAATAATTTGCCGTATTTTAAAGTTAGTATGTAGCCTAAGGCTTTTTAGAGCTTATTATTTGAATAATAATTAGCCGTGAGTTATGATCTTTCATATTCACGAAATGATTAGCTAATGAATACAAATGGCTCTGTAAAGAATGGATGAACAAAATTGTTGTGCTCCATATTAGCGCAAAAGGAAATGAGATGTAAGATAAGGAAATTAAGCTTCGGAGAGGGAATTTTTTTTTTGAAATTTCGCAATTTTGAAAATGATTAGCTCAGTCAGCCAGGAGAAATCGGATTATGTGCCCCATGACGACTACATTGATGTTAGAGAGCGATTTCATGCCAAAATTGTTTTACTCACGTACCCATCGAAAAAGGAAAAACTCTCAGAGCCAAAAGTAATATCATGAATCATGTTCTTTTTTACTACATCACGAAGTGAATCGCCATCTATATTATGGCAAAATATTAAAGATCAAGATCATTCAAATGCTTTATTATAATTAATTTTGTTTGAGCTTCAGTATTTTTATATTTTACTCCTGCAGAATTGCCTCGTTCGTCAAAAGCCGAATAATGTCCTTGAGGCAATACTCACCGACTTCGGCCTCGCTCGTGTGCTCGGCTGCATGCCCGACCCTCCTCCAAACTCTCCCAGAACGCCCGAGTCGCCAGAACCGGACATAATCGACGCACCGAACGGTGGTCCGATGTTGCCTCGGATACCGTCGGCCTGCATGGACGTGCCTCGGAAGATGTCGGTTGTCGGCACCGCGTTCTGGATGGCTCCCGAAGTTTTACGAGGAGAGGAATACACTCGCCAAGTGGATGTTTTCTCGTTTGGTATCGTGGTATGCGAGATTGTAGCAAGAATAACGGCCAATCCAGACGACCTCCCGAGGACTGGGGTAAGGGCAAAATTAGCAAATTGCAAGTGCAGGCCTGTGCAAGGTCTTCTGGGGGGAAAGGTTCCGAAAGGCACAAGGGAGAGAATTTTTCCACATGGGATGCTCCTTTTAAATTCATTTTTTCAAGCAAGAAAAAAAAGGAAGGGGTCCTCGCATCTTGAAGACCCTTTCCACTGCAGAACCTCTAGCGTTAGGTTTTACGTGCCTGCAGTGACAAGAAACTTAATTGGGCAGATGTGTTATAGTTTTAAAATTAGGAAAGTTAGAAAATAAATTCGACATTTAGAGTCTGTCAAAGTCGTGTATAATTCCAGTATTACTTATTATCTGTGAGAAAAAAGATCTAAATTTGTCATTATCTGGTTAAAAAAACAGTAAAAACAAACCAAAATATTGCCTATATACAACTTATCATCATCATTTTGATAATTGCACAACATCCAAACACTGTTTAAATGTTGTGTAATTTTGTATTCTTCACAATAAGTTTTAAACTCATTACAAATTAAATCAGCCTTGACTTACTCCTTTATGGGTGTGCTCTCTCATTCATTTTGTATTTCTTATTTTCCATATTTCCTTCTGTAGAAGTTCGGTCTCGACCTGCAGCTTTTCAAAGAGAAATGTCCAGGGATACCTGAACCCTTCCTACAGATCGCTGAAGACTGTTGTTCCGTGAGTAGTCTATAATGCGTCATTATGGTTATCATATTAACGGACCCTGAGCGTTATTTCTTCGCATTACAGAAAACCTATATGTTTATAAAATGTCTTCAGAACTTTCTGACATACTAATAAAATACTGCTAAATGAAGTCTAATAACAACGTAGCGAAGAATCAGCGGCGTTTGGCGAGGACACAACATGCCTATATACGCTGATCATCCATTGCTTTCACATTATTGTAGTGTATAATTGAGCGGCGGCATTGCGCTACTGAAAAGCAGTTTGAATAGTCGAAGAGTTAACCAACGCTACTTTTTAATATGCTTTTTTCTCTCTTTTTTGTATGTCTATTACATCGTGCGGCTATTGGTCGCCACTGCAAAAGTGTTAGTAACTGAATACAGTTCTCAACAGTTCAAATTCCCAATTACTGTTCAACTCTCTTACATTCACTTGTAGATGGATCCCAGGGATCGGCCGGTTTTCGCCGAGCTCGTCCGCCGTTTCGAGATCATCCGCGGTACGTTGGACACAGAAACGAGCGACACAACGTGTTACGATGTCAACCTTACGGACATCATCAGGACAAACGATTCGGACGATGATGACGATGATTGTAGCTTTGGGTTTCAGTTTCAAACGGATCTGGATGACAAACGCAGAAGTGGACGAACAAGATTGCGAGAAGTCCTTTGTGGATGTTCTAAAGGAGTACGCTTATGCTGCAAGACAGTATTTCAGGGTTGTTACGGGTTTCATCGTCTGCTTGTTGCCGATGCTTTCACTGTGGATGTATTGTGATTTAAAATTGAATTGAATCTCCAGTGGATGACAAACGCAGAAGTGGACGAACAAGATTGCGAGAAGTCCTTTGTGGATGTTCTAAAGGAGTACGCTTATGCTGCAAGACAGTATTTCAGGGTTGTTACGGGTTTCATCGTCTGCTTGTTGCCGATGCTTTCACTGTGGATGTATTGTGATTTGAACAATGTCCTCCTGTGGACCTCATTAATATATGCAAGCATAGGGTTGGTCTTAGAGAACTCGACAAGATGTGTAGAAGTGCTTCATTCTTCTCAATCAATCTTCAGGACTTTGTTCAATCTAATATCCAGATTATTCTCCAGACTGTGGAATGTTGTATCGCTTTTGTTGCAAAGAGTGCATTGTACGAGATCCGCAGGCTCGGACCTGAACGAAAACGTGACGTACCCAAATCAAAATGGCGGTCCGACCAAATCGTTGCAACATGGTGATACCCCCAGCGAGGTCCTGAGGAATACATCAACCCGCGTTGCGGACTTGGTCCCAATCTTGAAGAATCGTCAGAAAGGTCCAGGACCCGGCGCCGAGGATCCAGAGTCGCAGGGTGCAAGAAAGAAGACGCTGCTTGCAAACGAATTGGAAGAAACAGAACTGGATAAGTTACATAATCCAAACATTAACAGGGTATTGCTGAATGGCCGCATGTCGCAAAAGCGAGTCAGCTTTTCTTTACAAAACAGTATTGACCGAGATGAAGGTGACCCAAATCCATGAACATCAGACCTAAACAATGGTCTGAAACACCGATTTTCTATTGGCAGCCAAAATAGTAAAAAAAAAAAAGAAGAAGATAATAATAATGGTGATAAAACAGAAGAATTGTAAAAACAGAGAAGACTATATAAAAAGACTATTTTCATGTTTGCCTTTGATAAACATAATTATAAACATATATTTTAGCCTTTGTTGTTTCGGCCTTTTTGGTTGCCCATGTCAAGTCGGTAGTTGAGGTCTTAATCACCTACATGAATCCATGCCATTGTGGGTCGTCCTCCCTTTAGACAGTTTCACTCACGTTATAATTATGATACTCGAGATACTGCATTGTAGCACACATAGAATACCACATAATGTCAGCCTAATTATTATAAATGACTGCAATAAAACAGTGCTGGTGTTGTACAACATACATTAAGAGTAGAAAAATAAACATTAACAAATAAGACATTTTCAACGAGTTTACTTGTTGATTTACTTCTCAGATTCATGCCATTCTATTGTTAATGTGAACAAAATTTCCATTCTTGTTTTCAAGTAATTTTGCATTCCCATCTCTTCTTTTCTCTTTAATTGTCACTTTCCAATATGATGTATATCATTTCTGTTTCGTATATATTTTTGTGGATTTTGACATGATATTTCGCGTTGTTATAATGTAATGCAGAAGAAGAAAGAATATTGTACATGACTCGTGAAACGTAATGGATTTTTAAACATTTACTGGTGTAAGATGGTCGTTTGCAAAGGTCAGAAAGTGTTCAAGAAAGCAATGAAAAGAAAAGATGATCAGAGAAAAAAAGTATAACCAAGAAGTCGTGAAAGAGTACCGATCGTTATAATTATGTGAACCTTTGTGTAGCCATTACTGAGTTATTCTAATTTGCCATGCATTGCATTGCATTTGTGTAAAATGCGCTTTACGGGATTATAAAACGATGTTCTTTTTTGCATCATTTCTATTGGCATTGAACGTAAATTCTAATGGTTTGTTTCTTGAAATGGGATTCTAACGGGCATATTGTGCTGTAAAGTTTTAAATACGCAGTCACAAAATACTGCGACCTGTTCCAAAACTTGAAATGTCGTGTATTGTAAAAAAAAAAATGTTATGCATCTGTCTTCGGCGATCAAACTTGAAAACTACATTATTTTCAAACATATTAAACGTATCGGGCATCGTTATAAAGTGCAATACACAATTGGAAAGTCGATTATGGATTATGAGCGCCATTTTGTTTCCGTTTATACCCAACATTTTTCAAGTGAGCCACTGTAGGTTTCTAGATAGAAGAATTTGAGCGTCATTAATATTTTGTTTCAAAATACCTGATGAAGTGACCCTTTCCTGAACGGGACACTACGTCTAGCGATGTCTTTGCCGACAGTCATTCAAATTGTAACAACTCATGCTCAATAAATGCAAGAAATTATGTTTGACGCAACGAGAGTAGCATATTTGGCTCATGATTGGAATGTGTAGTACCATAATAATTATGTTAAGTCTATCATCGATTTTTACTGATTACTTTCTTGTAAGAAATATATCATTCCATAGATTTATATTGTTTTGGTGCTTTATGGTGAATTCTATCTGGGAAAGAGAATCGGTTTGTTTATGTACTATGTGTGCCAATGGATTATGATTTTTATCTGTTGATCAACACAAACTACATCACGTGTTATATTACTCTCAGACATCACTATGCAATATCATCTCTTCATCGTATAGGCCAAAGTGGCAAGTATTTTCACGAATGAACAAAGCCCCGTCGTAATTCCTAATCACGTTTTCTATAATAATCATTGTACCAAAAGGTATAGGTCAAACTTTATAAATGTACAGGTCTAGAGTGGAAATCCATTTTAGGGCAGTCCTGTTAAGGCTTTGGCGCGGTAAGTTATCATAAAACAATAACCGCCCCGGTTTTGCCGCATCATATCTGACCGAACCTTTGGGGCTCGCTTCATTTTGGAGTGGGGGGAAGTGGAATCCACTGTCAAAAGAAGTGACCACCATATGACTCTTGAAAAGTAGATTTCCTCTGTTCCATTTGAAGAGTTCAAGTGTTTCTCACAGTATAATATTGGAAGCTCTCTTTTCAGACATCAAATAAAGGCTCGTTCAAAATGATGCGGCAAACCGCTATAAAAGCTACCGATGTTTACTTCATAAAAATTGTAAATGAGGTGCCACAAAGAAAGGTGAAGCATATATAGGTAGGCGGGCATGGCTAAAATCACAACTCCAATTTCGACCAATCAGATGGCTGTATTTCTAAAAAGAAGTATACGATATAATTTACGTCATCATAAAAAAAACCGCCGCGGCTAGCCGCATCATATCTGAATGAAGTTTTATGATCTTTGAGCTAAATCATTATGATGAGGTTTTTTTTTCAAGAGTTTATGTCTAGATTGAGTATTATTCTCCATGTTGTCATTCGAAAGAAAACCCACTCGGATATCAAAAGATCTAAGGGACAAATTTCGATTGCACACATCCTCTTGGATGAATATCTGATATGTTTTTCCAAAGCAGTTTGAAATAGTTGTATGCAATATCACTCAGCCGATTAATAGTAAGGCCTGCTTTTAGTTTTATTCGTAACACATCTGTAGTTGGTAAAATTGCAAATGAATGTTATTATACATCTAAGACGTTTCCACAATTTATATTGGGCCAAACAACATCATGAACATCAGCAGTGTTTCTTGTTCATCTTATTGAATGTCACGATTTATTTTAAAGCAAACAGCCTTAAACTTGTTGGTGTTTTTTGTTTCCTGCTTCTAATCATCTCATTCTCATCGAGTGTAAAATTAGCTTCACATCTGAAATTATATGATATATCTATAACATGTCAATTTGTAAATAAAAGAAATTAAAAGAGCAACAAACGCGTCGTGTTTCAATTTTTTTTCATATTTTATATGAGTTTGTAAAACAATTTAATATTTGTATTTGGGTCTATCGTTGATAGGTTTGAAAATATTTTGTTTGCAAATTTACAAACGTGCTCTCATGAATCACGGTAATTTTAAGACGTGTGGCGGGGGGAGAGAGAGACAGAGAGACAGAGAGACAGAGAGAGAAAGAAGAGACAGAGAGAGACAGACAGACAGAGACAGAGAGACAGAGAGAAAGAAGAGACAGAGAGAGAGAGACAGAGAGACAGAGAGAAAGAAGAGACACAGAGAGAGAGACAGACATCGACAGAGAGACAGAGAGAAAGAAGAGACACAGAGAGAGAGACAGACAGAGACAGAGAGACAGAGAGAAAGAAGATACAGAGAGAGAGAGACAGACAGAGACAGAGAGACAGAGAGAAAGAAGAGACACAGAGAGAGAGACAGACAGAGACAGAGAGACAGAGAGAAAGAAGAGACAGAGAGAGAGACAGACAGAGACAGAGAGACAGAGAGAAAGAAGAGACAGAGAGAGAGAGAGAGAGAGGGGGGTGGGGTAAGAGAGAGAGAGAGAGACAGAAGAGACACAGAGAGAGAGACAGGGAGAGAAAGAAGAGACAGAGAGAGAGAGAGACAGGGAGAGAAAGAAGAGACAGAGAGAGAGAGGGGGTGGGGTAAGAGAGAGAGAGAGACAGAGAGAGAAAGAAGAGACAGAGAGAGAGAGACAGAGAGACAGAGAGAGAAAGAAGAGACATAGAGAGAGAGAGGGGTGGGGTAAGAGAGAAGAAGAAAAAACCATTGGAAGAGAAACGAGGATATAGTTGGAGGGACTGAAATAGAAACATATTAAACTACGTAAACAGAGACAGAGAGACAGAGAGAAAGAAGAGACAGAGAGAGAGAGAGAGACAGGGAGAGAAAGAAGAGACAGAGAGAGAGAGAGACAGGGAGAGAAAGAAGAGACAGAGAGAGAGAGAGAGGGGTGGGGTAAGAGAGAGAGAGACAGAGAGAGAAAGAAGAGACAGACAGAGAGAGAGGGGGTGGGGTAAGAGAGAGAGAGAGAGAGACAGAGAGAGAAAGCCATTGGAAGAGAAACGAGGATATAGTGGGAGGGACTGAAATAGAAACATATTAAACTACGTAAACATAATATGGGGGGGGGGGGTAATACACTGTTGGTGAATAAAGGGAATTTTTTTTCCTTTGTTCATCAAAGTTGATATAGATACGAGCTGGGGTTTTCTCTCCAAATAGTTTGAAAAACAACTGGGGTTTATTTCTACCCTTGCTGCTCATTCGAAATTATTAATAGATCAACATAGTTGACTAAACATTACTTAACTAAAAAAAATTCAAAATATCGACAAACCTAATCTCCTGGTTACTAATAATCTTTACAAAGAGAGAGAGAGAGAGAAAGAAAGAGAGAGAGAGGAGGAGGAGTATGGTGCGGTCTTCCCCTTCTCAACGTTGCCAAAATTAAAGGAGGTAAAAATGATGGTGATGACGATGATGATGATGATGATAACGATGATGATGATGATGAAGAAGAAGAAACCATAATCCCTTGTCATTTGATAATGATTGGCGTTAGGAAATAAGAGAAATAATGTGATTGTATCTTCTATTCTAAACGATAGGCCTTTATAATGATCGTTTACAATAGCATGTTGCATAATGCCGCGGGTTTTTGTGTGTGTGGGGGGGGGGGGGCTACAGGGGATGTGCCCCGCCCAAATCTTGTCAGGTAGACCAATTGGGCAACTGGGCCACCGTGTGGAATGCTGCTCTTTCTATTTCCCTTTCCATGTATTTTTTGTTTTACTTTTCTTCCCTAATCCTATGTTTCTCTGTCTTATAGGATAATACCAGTCTCGACCACTGACCCTACACCCCTTCTACCGGCCGATCGCTTATTTACAAAAAACGTTGCCATACGATCGACAAGGAATCTGGGCGGGAACAGTGCGTTGGCTATTACATTGTATATGGGAAAATTTGGGATTAGAAAATAGGATTAGAGCAGGGTCAGTGTTATTGTTTAGGATTAGGAAAGGGGCTCAGTAGCCTACTGTTGTAGAGGAAAACAATTTCGGGACAGTTCAAAATAATAATACCGTTTTAAAAACCAGTAAGATATGGTT